CTGTTTTCCGCTTCCAGTCTAACCCCGCAGCCACACGTAGCCGGGCTGCCTGTGCCCTTGGCGGGCGCACAGTCTGTTGCCCAGGACCTGTCTCTGCGCCCTGCTGCTGCTCTTCCTGCCGCCTCCGCCCGCTCTCTGGGGACAGGGACCGAAGTCACCAGCCTGCATCCCCTTCCAGGCCCAGTGCAGTCCAGGCAGAAGCTGGTGTCTCCCTGAAGACGTAAGCGCAGCGACTGGTGATGGGAAAGAGCAGATGATGTGGATGCTGTCTGAGGGCCTGGTTGGTTCAGTCCCCCAGACATTACACGGACACTTACACGTGCAGTCTAGCCTTGTCAGACGCTCCTCGAGCTACATGACGTTATCTCCATTTCACAGCTGAGGCTCCGAGAGGTTATTTCCCGGGTCACACAGGCTGTGTCCCCTGAATTTCCCAAGCCTCATCATCTGGTGTGTGCAAGTGAGGAGGTCACTTAGCATCAGTCCCCAACAGGAAGCCACAAGACCACAGCACCCCCACCACCACCACCAAACTTTCCCTCTGCTCTTTGGGGGAATCTAGGGGAAGGTTCTCCTACATGTTCATGAACATCCCTCTCACAGGGGTCTGCTCAGGGCCTCATTGACATCTGGGGGGACATCAGTACCCTGCAGGCCAGGGCTCCCTGCTGCCCAGGCCCACCCTGGGAACCGGGCCCTGCCCAGATGCCCTCACACAGGGCTCCAGGTCAACAAGACCAGGGCTGATTTGTGACTTTTCTAAAGCCCCAGAACTAGCTCTCCATGGGCTCCACCGCCACCCATAAAAACCACTTAAAATCATATTTTACAACTCTATTGGTATTGAGGTTAATAAATTAATAGTATGTATTAGAACATGTTCCTGAACCTAAGAGTTCATTTTTTTCTTTCAAATATAAAAGAAATTAAACCATTTTCATGGGCCCTTAAAAAAGGGAGGGCCCGAGGCTCCATGCCTGCTGAGCCCAACGGTAAGGAGGCCCTTTGCAAGACCCTGCCCCAGTGGCAGCCCCCTCGCCACTGGCCCTTCCTCCGTCACAGAGGGACCCAGGCGCCTCCCAGCATGCTGCGTGCTCCTGCATCGCACAAAAACTAGTGTCCGTGTCCCTTCAGCTTTTCTGATTTAGCCTTTTTGTTCTTGATATAGGTGAAAGAACAGTCCCCAAGGTGGAGCTAGGAACATCCTTCTTCTGCCCCAGATACCTGTACCCATCATTCAATCCCCAAAGCTTTTCCCCCGCGTTGCATTAGATTATGTCATAGCAAGGCTACTACCAAGTTGTATAAAAAGATGCCCAGGCCTCTGTCACAGCCCCAGTTCATCACGCACAGCCGGACACCAGGTCTGTTTTGGCCCAGCTGAGACAGAGCACACGCGTACACAGCCCCAGGGTAGGACTGGGGCCAGACTCGCCCCTCCGTCATTTCAGTGTGTTCCCTCTGTTCAGCCAGGCGCCCAGGGAACCCCTGCTGCTCGCCTGTTCGCAAGCGTGAGCCGTGCAGTGAGGGGCCTTCCCCTTGACTCCTGCTGCAAAGGAGTCTGCCTTTCCCTGTCCAGCACGAAGCCCTGGAGCGAATGCGGACACTGGGGAGATCTCGGGAGAACCTGCAAGGGCTGCTAATAAGCAGGTCTAGCTGGTGTTTAGGATGAGACTATTTTCTTCTGTAGAATTCTGTGGACTCAGAATCTGCCCCTGGCAACACCTTGTATTCTGCAGGTCTTTGGAAAACAGTTTCTAAGGAAGTGTAAACAGGGGGAAAATTGGTTTCTGGAAAATTTGATGTGAAGAGAAAGTCCCTGGGGACAGGATGGAGAGCTTGCTAAGGATGAAGTTTGTGTAGAGTGAGACAAAATGTGCCGAAGTCTTGCTCTGCCCTGTGTTCCCCAGAAAGGAAAGAACAGTACAGCTTGGATTTATGACTTGGATTCAACCTGTTTCTTTCTCAGGTCCATTGCAATGGCCCCTGTGGCTGGGCCCCAACCTCGGGGTGCAGGTAGATGCCTGTCCGCTGCCTCGCTGAGTGAGGGAGGACACCCCACCTTTGGCCAAGAGGGATCTGTGGAGTGTGACTTAGCACCTTCCGTACCCCAAGTGATGCCCTGGCAGTTTCAGCCCCAACGGCTGTGAAGTTGATGTTATGGATCTGATGTTCCTCGTGGGGCTGTGTCCCTGCCTGAGCCCTAGAAGTGGACCCTCGGGCTCTCAGCGGTGACCGTTGGTCTGGGGAGACGGAGGAGGGTGGGTGCGCCGAGCAAACACCGCCCCTGGAAGCACGTGCCCCGGGAGAAGCCACTCGGGCTCACATGGCGTTTCCAAAGGGAATCGCACGCGTCCGGCACTTAGTACGATCGGTTGTTCAATCTGTATTTCTTTGATCGCTAGAAGGTTGGGTTTGGTTACTAACTGGGGTCACTGCCATTTTCATTCCGTTGTCTGTGGGGCCTTTGGCCACAAATGTCTGGCCAGCCTTCCTGGTGTGCATCAGCCCCTGTTCCATGTGCTGGTTTTCTGCACACCTTCCCCTCTGCCTTGCTAGACACCAAGGCATCACCCGTGACCCTCTAACCGCTGGAGTCCGTCCGCCTGCAACAGAGAGCGCTCTCTGCCGTGCAGCTTGCGTGGTCGGGGCTGGGAGCACCAGAGCAGGACGGGTCCTCAGCTCTTCATTTCTCCCCCCCCACAGGGCTCCCTGCCAGCATTTAATCTGAACAAAACCCTGTCCAGCGCTACGCGCAGCGTTACTCAACATCACTGGAGCCGGCGCTGTCTGCTGCCGAGCCTGGACGGGGCGGGGAGCAGGACGTTTACGTGACTAGTCAGGGTTAGCCCTGTAACAGAGTCATCTCCTTACTGGGCCAGGGAGTCCACTAAAGAACAGCGAGGCTGGGTGTCCTGCTCCTGCCGCACAGCCAACAAACTCCCAGCGGTCCTTCCTTCCAGTGCCCCCAGCCCCGAGCACACCGCCACTCCTTTGCAGCAGACAAGAAACACAGATCCCCTGCAGGTGCTGCTGAATTCCGGCTGGCGTATCCCAGTACAGAGCGAGACTGGGGACCACCACACAGCTAGATCTTGTCCAGTTTTCACAGGATTATTTCTCAGTCACTTCCCCTTTAAGCAGACCACAGACCTTCCGGTGAAGCGGTGGGGCTGGTACAGACCAGCTACATGGGGCTCCTCACTCGACTCAATGGCAGGAAGGTGTGTCTTCTTGTCAAGTGGCTGGGGTCGGGCTGAGGCAGGCCATGAGGACAGGGACTTGATCCAGTGTCCCAGCACCTAGAACAGAGCCTGCACACCATGCCCCCCCCCCCCAAATATATAAAATGAATGGTGCCGACTGCAGACATGCTGGAAGTGCATATCTCACAGATGGTGTCCTTATCCGAAGAGCATGCCTCTGGGCCACATTTGGCTGCCAGCTCCTATGAGTGAATAACAAGGCATTTGTGCATGTAACGGAACAATGACTCCCAAGCAACACTGATGGCCAACTTCTTGCTTCGATGTTATATGTTCATAGACTCAGGATGCAGATCACTCTTCGGCTCAAGCACCTTTATGTCCTTTCCATGAATAACCTTGGCTTGTCCGTGACCCTGGACCAAGTGGAGATGGGTATAAATGTTCTCACTTTCCCTTCCGTCGTGCTGTGGTCTCGCTTTTTGCCCCCTGAATCTCGTAGGCATAGATCTTTCTTTTCAAAAGATGTACAAGGGCACCTCTTCTATGAAATAAGGGGCAAATTTTCTAAATTCACACTTTATTTATTAAGCGAAGGGTAACAAATCTTCCATAGCTACAATGTTGCCTTTTCTAAAGTGGACTTAAGCCAACAGTGGCAACTGTTTTGTGCCAAAATCATCTGGAGCCCAATTCATCTCCAGAATCAGCCACTTCAAGTTACAGGGCCCTGGATACTGGGACGCCACCTCTGCAGGTCTTTCCTAAGGAAGAGTTGTAGGCCCGGCTGCTTCTGTGGGTACCGCCTTTATCTGACGAGTCTGGGTCACCTTCCCGCCATCCCTTTCTCCTGGCGCCCAGACCTTCTGAAGCTTGGCTGTTGGTTGAGTCAGTCAAGCGGCTGGTGTGGCGCAGACAGGCTGGAGAGGAGCCCACTGAGCCCATGGGCCTTTACCCTGGGGTGGACTGTCAGGTGTGAGACCATGTGCCTCCGCATGGACCCCAGTGACAGCTTCTAAACTGTGGATGCAGCCACTCACTTGCCCCTGTGGTTGAGGTGGAAAGAAGTAGGGAGGGGGAACATCACCTGTTAGGGAAACAAAAGCTTTTCTAGAACCCCACCCCCCCAGGCTTTCCCTTCAGGCTCATTGGTCAGAACTATGTCATGTGACTGCCCCGGGCTGCAAGAGAGGCTGGGAAAGGAGTCGTTTTCTGTCCAGCCTCTGTGGTGGAGGAGAGCCAGGGAGACTGGGCCAGGGAACAGGTGGGTGTGAGTTAACGCAGTGGCTAGCGAGGCCCTGCGGAGAAACTCCTTACTCATGGTACAGATGACCGAAGTGAGCTCCCGAAATGGGATGTAACTTGGCCAAGGTCCTGTAACTAGATGCAGTTGTTGCCAGATCCAGAAAGCTACCCCCTGCACCGCACGAGGTGGTCATTGAACAGTCTTTGACCAAAGCTCTGTTGAGGAAGCAGAACATCGTCCAGAAAGTGAGGTGGTGGGTATAAAGCTCGCAGCGGTGGGCGGAGGACATGGTGAGCTCCCAGCTGAGCTTCCCTCCCTAGGAATCTGAGACACGTCGGTGTGAGCCCAGACGCTAGGCCAAGCCCAGTCAGGCCTCCTCTGAGGTCCCGCCTGCTGTGTCGGTTGACTCCTTCCTTTGGCACAGCGATGTCTGTGTGTGTGGCAAAGGAAGCTCTCTCATGATGAGCGCCATGGTAACGTAGAATTTCCACGTCGTTGTTAATGTGCTCTTCTTGTCTTCTGTCTCCTTCTGTCATTGGACCAAACAGAAGTATTCTGCTGTTTCTCTCTGCAACATCTCCACAGAAGTCCTGAAAGTCATCAATGCCACGGAGGAGTTGATAGCAGAGTCGACAGGGCCCTGGGAGTTCCCACCTGTCCCTCCGGACAGAGAGAAGGGGCCATTTCCTCTTGGGACAGACCAAGTGAGACTGGATGAGCAGCTGACCTCCCTGGAAGAAAACGTAAGATGATGTGGAGGTGCCTTGTCTAGGGCGAGCGTGTGCGAAGACGCAGCTGATGAAGTTATAACTCATCACAAAGCAAGCAGGGACCGCCAGAGCATCCGGCATTCCCAGGGAGGGTCTGAGGCTGGGGTCCCAGAAGTAGCTCCTGAGATGGGGATCTTCACACAAGTGATTTATCAGGGAAGTGCTCCCTGGGTGGGCTGGTAAGGGAGTGGGGAAGCAAGAGAGAGGGAAGAAGCCGGACGAAGGTGGGGTCTTAGGCAAAGGGTCGCGTCACCCTGCTCCTGCAGGAGCTCTGGGGCCTCAGCTGCATCTGAGCTGTCCTCGCCAAGGCAGGGGAGCTGGCCCTTCCTACAGCCGGCAGGCCCGTCAGCCTCTCGGGTGCAGGCAAGGTGTCTGCCGCAGCCCAAAGGCAGTCCCCTGCATAGATCTGAGCCGTTGGGGACAGAAGCACGCGGAAGCTGTGGGGGCGCGGGTGGGACTGTGCAGAGACTACGAAAGGATGTGTGGGGACCCAGGTAGAGCCCCTCCAGCAGCACCACAGGGAACGAGGGTGGCCGTCCACAGGACTTGGGTCCTCCAGCTGGCCTGCCTGCTTCACGGACAAGCCTGCTGTAATAGAGTGTCTGTCCTTCTGACTTGTGAGGACAGAAAGAATGTAATAGATTCTTACACGTAAGTACCCACAGTCATTGCTGAGTATTTCAGTAAAGGTCCAAGGAGAATTTTCCAGCACTGTAGACCAGGGGGGACACAGCGACGGGACAGGCGCTGCTCGGGCCGCAGTCACCATCACCAGCTGGCATAGTCCTGCCCACGAAACTGGTATCAAATCAAGTCAGCTGACTCATCTTTGCAGACCCAGCAGAGTGAACCCCGGTTTGGGGGTGCTCTAATGAATGTTGTTCTCGGAAATCAGGAACTGTTATTAGAGGAAATTTTTGCTAAAAGTTGAAAGAACAAGTCAAAATAACCCAAAGTTTTGCCCAAAAAGCCAGTATTTGTTTCACTTTCAAAACTGACGACTCTCTCCCTTTGTATTTCCGTAAAACCTACGCATATGTCTATCGAAACACTCACCTCACTCTGCTGTCCTTCTGGCCACCCATCTGCCTCCCCTTAGAGCGGCGCCATTAACATTTCCTGTTAGCATCTCTTTGTTGTAAGGGGCTGTAGGATGTTTAACAGCACCCGGTCTCTCTCCATTAGAGGCCAGGAGCAGCACCCTCCTCGTTGAGACCACAAAGGTCTGCAGACACTGTCAGATGTTGGAGGGGGGCGCTGTGGGGAGGTGGAGGCAGAGCACCCCCAGGTCAGGAAGCAGGTGTATCAATTCCCGCAGAACGGGGCCTGCTGGCTGCTTCTGGGGCGCTGGGCCTCGGCCGCAGCCTGACACACCGGAGCTGCCCGGACGCCTGTCTGATGTACGACCGTCAGATGAGCAGGGTTCGTACAGAAGCGATTTGCTTCTGACGGGCAGGTCTCCGTCCCCTCAGTACGTCTGTCTGTCATGCTGTTCTTTCAGTGCTGGCCGTCCTAAAATGGCCCTAATCCTGGACACGCTGAATCGAAAAGGTAAAAAAATAAAGCTATGGTTCACCAGGAAAGGGATTTTTTTTTTTTTTTTTTTTTTACAAAGAATGGTACCAAAAAACTCCTTACAATGCGTGAACTGCTCCGAATTTAAGCGATAGCGGTCATACCCACGGCGCACCCGAACAGAGACGGGCCTCCCCGCGGCGCACCCGAACAGAGACGGGGTCTCCCTCGTCCCCAAGGAGCACGCGGAATCATGGCCTGGTGGAGTTCTTTCTCCCTCTAAGATCTTTTCATCGTGCTTCCTGTGCTTTCCTTGGGCTTGTTAACACTTTCCCTTGAAAACAGATCCGCCTTCCCCCTGACTCGGTGTCAAGGATCCCAGCAGGCACACTGCAGAAAGCCAGGGTTTGTCATTGACGGCTCCCTGTCCAGCACCTCCGAGCTGCCTCTCCTGTCCCCAAAGAGTTAACCGCCTTCTCCCCCCCCCCCCCCCCCAGCTTTCAAGTTCACCTCCATCTATGTGCTTTTGAATTTGACAGGTTTGGGAGTCAGAGAAGGGACGGTTCTTTCTCTCTCCAGCTCCCCATCACAGGTTGCTGGCTGCGTGTGCGGGGGGAGCTCCCGAGGCGGGGGAGGGCCTGGCTGATTCTGAACCCCGCCTGGGGTGCAGCTGATCCAACTGAGCCAGGCCTTTTGTCTGTCCCTTCCAAAGCCCCTCACTCCTCGCTGCCTTCTCCTTTGTGCCGAGGAGCCGGGACTGTTGGAAACAGAAAAGGCCACGCTATCTGTGCCTTCTGAACGTGGCCGCCGCAGACCAGGGCTCGGATGAAAGAGAATGTTGGCTGGAAAATGTTTCGCCTTTAAAAATACTTCTGAAGCTTCAGAGCTGCCGAAGATAAAAATGTCCCATTCACATGTCGAAGCTCCTGTTCTCCTAAAGCAGCTCGTTAATCCGTTTAATGAGGGGAAGGCTGGGGGTTTCAGAGTTCCCTTCGTCTCGGCTCTGACACTCCTCACCTGCTGCCGGCGCTGCCCTGTGAAATCGGCTTTCTCCCCGAAAGGCCGGGGACCTCGGCCAGCCCAGCCTCCCCGCACACACAATGCGGCCTCAGTTTCTCGGACCGAGGGCCGGGTCTCGGGGCTCTTGCCGAGAGCCGGAAGGAGAGGGTGCTGTCGTTCCTGTTGGGGTCTGGCTGGCAGAGCAGTGTTTCCGGACAGGACAGTCGCTGAGGTTGGGCAAGGTGGAGGGATGCTGTAGCATCCAGAGAGTAGGAGGAGGAAGCGGTCACCAGCCCTAAGCCCTGCAGCCCAGGGAGAACTGGATTCTGGAAGGGTGCCCCCTAGTGGAAGCAGTCCCCATGGTGCCCGGGCCAGGAGCGAGCAGGGGACAACTCACACTTCTTTCTTCTGCCTCTGATATCTGGCCGGTGTCTCCCATTGGCAAGTCCATCCCTAGCCAGCAAGGGAGCCTCGGTGATGAAATTCAGGTCGGTCAGCCCCGCATGGAACAGATCAGGGCAGAGAAGGATGGAAAGTGGATCTAGGGTCACTAGAAAACCACTAGCATGACCATTCTTGGGCCTGTGGTGTGAATAACAGGGACCCACAAGGGCCATCTTGTGCGTGGGAGGGACTAGTCCGCTCCCTCTCCCTCCCGTCCCCATCTGAGGACCTCTCTTATCCTCGTCTTCACTAGATGGCAGAGACAGCCTGGGGCACCCCGTAATTCCCAGCCACAGAGGCAGGGGAGGGACCACCCAGCCTCCCTCTCAGCTCTTCCCTGTAACTCCGCAACGCCAGATACGTTGGCCATGTATTCTACAGCCTGGGGCAGCAGGCACAGCGGAACTGCCCCCCTGAGGCCCCAGCTCTGCCTCAGAACCCAGGACCAGGCGAAGGATGCTGGTCCTCCCGAGGCTCTCGTCCATCCCCACAGCACAGGAGAGGACGTGGCTTCTCGGGTGGTTCTCCGACCTCAGAGAGCAAGGAGAGAAAGACTGTTCACTACCATGTAACGTTAGTCCCCAAAGCGGACGCCATGGGAGCCAAACCCAACAGGATGCTCTAAGATCAAGTTTGAGAAATCTGTCTACTCTTTCTAGGAAAATCGAGATACATGTTAGCACGTGAAAGACTCTCTGAGAAATCCTCCAGTAAAGAAATCTGCTTATTGTCTTTATCCCAGGGGTCTGACCACAAAGTCCTTCTTTAATGAAACATCTGTTCTCATCCCTTGAATCATTTTGAGAAAGACTTGTTGAAACAGCCAGTCAGTGGGGTCATAGGCAGCAGTCACGAGAGTACGGAGAGGGCGTGGTAACCATTATGAGACACTTTTTTTATTAATTTATTTTTATTCCAGATGTTTCTCCTTTTCTCCCCAAGGACACCCTTCTCCCGACCCCCTCCCCACCCCAGCATTGTAGTCTAGGTCCACTGGTTACACTTAAATGCATATAAGTTTTTTGTATCTCTTCCCTCCTCCACCCCACCCCCCTCTTCTGAGGTTTGTCAGTCTGTACCCTACTTCTATGTCTAGGAGACAAATTTTTAATTTCTCCACTCGGCTTTGAAACGTTCACTTCCTTCGAACAACAAAGTCATGTTTCTTGTTTTGAAGACAAAGACTAACTGTGAGGATCTTTTAGAAACAAGCTCTCTAATACTTGCATGTGATAACAAAACATGAAACTAAAGGCAAACTGAACCAGGGCGCGGCTGTCAGCAGGCACGTGACGGGCAGCCCCTGCGCAGCTGCGGACCCCTCCCGGCCGTGCCCTGCCAGCCGGGCAGCGCCCCAGCCCAGCGAGTTGTTCTGCTGATGCTCGGTCAGTCCGCTTCCGTCAGCCCTGCTCCTGCCTCGGCTCCACTCTGAAAAGTCTTGTAAAAGTGGCAGTTGAAACGCAGATGCGTGGAGCATGCCGAGGAATTGGCAGAGGGCACTGGGGTTCTTTCCCCTCCTCACCCAGCTCAGCCTCGCCCAGAGGGGAAGGCATGCGTCCTGGAGCTCTTGTCTTGCCTCACTTGGTTATATTCTGTCAGGTCACAGGAACTGCGGAAGGACTGATGCACTTGTCATTCAGATCAGTGGGATGGCTGTGGTGACGTGTCCGGGACTTTATGCACGTTGATGAAACCTCACCAGCCTCTCTTCCAGGAATTTCCTTCTCCAGACACGGCTGGTTCTTTGTAGTGTCGCTGGTTTCATCCCAGTATTAGTCGGGCGGAAGAAGCTTTTCCCCTGGTTGGCATCCTCCAGCCTGAATTATTCCAAAAACTGTTACTTTCTGTTTGCCCACTTTTACGGAATCTCCTTATAAACTCATACGTCAAGATATTTAATTTTTCCTTATACTACTCCCTGTATCTGATGTTCTCTTTAATCTTCAGTAACTCACACACAAAAAAACCCCTCTTAATTGACAGATAAATAGATTTTACATGCTTTTCTTAACAGCACACTATTTTCTAAGAAATAAAGGATTTTCCTACCATGATTGCAGGTTTATTTAATTCCCTTAGCCTGTCGCAAGCCAGCTGAAGGAAATTAATCAAAGATAAGCCACTCAAAATGTGTGATTGTTTCTAATTAATTTCCCCTATTTCATGTTTTTTGGAGTTTCCTCAATTACCAAATGCCAACAAACATTTTTATTCAAAAAAACCACACCATGGGTTTTGCGCTTTGTTTCTTCTGTGTTGATAGTATGATTGTTATACGTAGACACTGGACAAATTTATAATGTATGTGGCTGATGTCATGTATATTGTACTGTTTTATCATAGTTCCAAATTTTACAAACTGCTTTTTCTTGCAGGAAAGTGCAGGAGGGGGGTTGACGGGGGTGGCGTGGCCAGACCTCACGCCACCATTTCAGCGCAAAGGAAGTTTATACATCGGGGCATTCCCTGTCCTGTTCCCCAGTGTCGAGTCTAGTTCCTTCTCCCCTGAACGACAGGGTCCCCTGAAAAGCCCCACCAGTCTGCAGACATGAGCTCAAGGCTGTGCCTCCCCTGCAGGTGTACCTGACGGCGGGCACCGTGTACGGACTCGAAGGCCAGCTGACCGAGCTGGAGGATGCTGCCCGCTGCATCCACAGTGGCACAGATGAGACCGAACTGGCAGAGCTGGAGGACCAGGTGGCCACGGCTGCAGCCCAGGTCCACCATGCTGAGCTCCAGGTAAGAACTCTTCTCTCCGCCCAGATGGGAGACCACCAGGCAGAAGGAGGGAGCAGCCCATCTTCCCCGAGAATCACTGCAAAGCCTCTGTGTCTGTCCGTCCCTCCTTCCCAGCCCACTGGCATGGATGTGACCCTCCAGGACGGAGCCCACCAAATCCCCCTTTGTTCAGAGCAGCCTTCCTCTCCCCAGACTGCAGCCCTGACAATAGATCAGGCTTCTCTCCAAAACCCAGGCCTCTTTACCACATCTCTGCCCCATAGGTGGGTGTCCCTGCTTCCCATGCCACCTCCAAGACCACCCTTCCCTGACCGTGCCACACTGCTGAGTCCTTATGTAATGCCAGCTCCCCACTGTAGACGGAGAGTTCCAGGAGGACTGGGCGGTAGCTGTCTGGCTTAACACAGGATGACTCTCGTGCCCAGCACAATACCTGGCACAAGTCTGGCACTCAGTAAAAATGAATGAAAATTGGAAGTGTGGATTTCTCAGGCCGATCCTTTTTTTTTTTTTTTTTAATCCTCACCCGAGGACTTTTTTTTTTTTTTTGATATTTTGTTCAGATAGAGTAGGAGGGAGAGAGAGAGAGAGAGAAACATCAACGTGAAAGGGACACATCGAGTGGTCGCCACCCACACGACCCAATCAGGGCTGGGGACAAACTGCAACCGAGGTACGTGCCCTTAGTGGGAACCGAACCCGGGTCTCTCCAGACCGCAGGCCGACGTTCTAACCACTGAGCAAAACCGGCCAGGGCCTCAGGCCGATTCTTTACGTGACTGAGATGCAGCTGTTTCAGAACTGATCACTGTGTTGTCTGTCACTTTGGGAAGATACCTGTTTGCAGTTTTCATGGCTATTCCCTTGGTCCCTGACTCTGCATCAGAACTGACCGTGGACTAAGCCACTGATGATCAAAACTGAGGTCCATGGGCGTCCGCTCGGGGACCCACGACAAATGCTGGTTTCGGCAGTGTGGACCACCCCTGGCTCTGATATTTCTACAGACCCTGCATCATGAAACTGCCAAGTTGGGGTCCACAGAAAGACCTCTGGATAGAGCTGACACTATTGGGTGATCATTCTTTTTAAAATGAAGATTTTTATTTTAAAGAGTCCTGAGAGGGCGGGGGCGCCCACTCTCCACACCGCGGGGGTTAATGCCGTGAGCTCGGGATGGTGTCATCGGAGGGCCCTGTTGACAGTGTACTGCCAGCAAGAACAGTGGAGGAGCAGTTCTCCTCAAGTACCTTCATGGTCCATAAATGCCACCCAGCACGTGATCTTACAGTCAAAGTTATAGAGAGTAGAATCAAAACATTTACTTTCTGGGGGTACATTTTACAGCAAAATTTTTAAATGGTTTAGCAGGAAGAAATATTATGGGTATTTGGGAAGTTTTTTATTATAATAATTAGTTATTCCTGCTTCCACATTTTTCTAGGCTTCAGTTATTGAAGCCAAGTTTTATAGCAGAGAATCCTGGAGTAAAAAATGTCTATTTTTCACATATTTGAATCTGCCTATTAATTTATTATTCATTTTTTAATTTTACATTATGTTATTAATGGCTAGTGTTCAGGGAGCCTTACTCTGTCCCCGGAGCTGTGCTGAGGACGCTGGCCACTACATTCTCCAGTGACTGCCGTGGGCATTCCCAGGGGAAGTCTCCCAACTCTCGGGAGGAGGAAAAGAGATTCTTCTAGGTACTTGGTCTCTGCCTTGTGGGTGTAGGAACACTGATCTCTTTGCTTTGGCTCCAAGGAACTCAGAGCTGGACTGGTCATTCTCTTCTGTCAAGTTTAAGGGTCATTGGGTATGAAGTCTCAGGAGTAACGTGGAATATAACTGGACGGACGGACGGACGGACGGATGAATAGATAGATAGATAGATAGACAGACAGACAGACAGACAGACAAAACATAGGCAAAAATCAGCCTTCAGGAGTCTCCTTTCCTCTCTCTTTGTCCTTTGCCCTGTGGACTAAAACGTGAAAAATGAACCCCTTCTTATTCCGCAACCTGGCCGTCGGCAATTCAGGAGGCCGGCAGCTGCCCTCCCATCGCGCTGTCTGCCAGAGCAGGCCCTGTACCCAGACTGCTTCCAGGAAAGGCTGCGGGCATCGCGTTCGCACCAGCTGCAAACGACCAGGAAGTTCAGCCTGCGGCCTTTCTCGCAGGCTTGTGCCACCGACTGGACCGTACACGAGGGAACGCAGCTCTCGTGTGGGCTCTCGCTCTCGGTCTGCCTTGAGACCCTGTCGGGAGGAAATCCGAGCTCCTGGCCTTCCGATGGTACAGCCAAGGAAACAGGTGCCCAGAGGGAGGGAGGAGTTTCTCAAGGCCTCTGGGCCTGAACAGAGGTTGCTGGAGACCCCTCCCAAGACTCGGCGCTGTGGTTTGGGACTCAGGATGCTGTGGGGAGAGGAAGCCAGACATTAAGTGCTAACGTCCCATGGAAGCCTTCCCTGACTTCCCCACTCCAGATGACCCTGGCCAGGGTTTCCACTGTCCTGGGCTTCATTTATCCCCAGGGCTACTCGAACATGGGTGACATGCTCTAGAGCCACCAACTAAAAATTTAAAGTTACAAAGAAGGGCCTGTATTTTATTTCCTCACTATAGCATCAGGTACAGGAGTGCTTGGTGGAAGTTGAATGAATGAATGAGTACACATCAAAGCAGATTTGTTCTTTAAATATATATATATATATATATATATATATATATTTATATATATGTGTGTGTGTGTGTATGTTTTTATTGATTTGAGAGAGAGAGGAAGGGAGAGGGAGAGAGAGAAACAACGAGAGAGAAACATTGATGGGCTGCCTCCTGCACCTCCAACTGGGGATCAAGCCTGTGACCCGAGCACGTGCCCTGACCAGGAATCACCAGGAATCTAACAGGTGACCTTGCGGAGAATGGTCACTGACTGAGAAGCTCAACCAACTGAGCCACACCGGCAGGGCAAAACAGATGTGTTCTTTCTAGATTTATAACACCTTTAGCAAAGATTTCCCCTCCTGCGCCCTCTCCCTCCTGACTGTCTCTGCTGCTCTAAGATTTCAGATATCGAGAGCCGGATTTCAGCCCTGACCATCGCAGGGTTAAACATAGCGCCATGTGTGCGCCTCACGAGGAAACGCGCCCAGAAGCCAAGGAACCAGGTAGGTTTGTCCCTCGCTCTTCATGCGGGGACTTCGCACAGCCTGGGACATTCAGAAGATGACATTTTTTGGCTTTGAGGAGGTATTTTGATGGCTATGTTCTGTTTGTAGGTACAAACCATAGACACATCAAGACAGCAGAGGAGGAAACTGCCTGCCCCACCAGTGACAGGTACACTCAGGTTAAAACCAGAGCTGCCCGCCGGTGTGGCTCAGCGGCTGAGCGTCGACCCTGCACCAGGAGGTCGCCGGTTCAATTCCCGGTCAGGGCACATGCCCAGGTTGTGGGTCCGGTCCCCAATGGGGGGCATGCAGGAGGTGTCCAATCTATGTTCTCTCTCATCAATGTTTCTATCTCTCTCCCTCCCTCCCTCTCTCTCTAAAAACCAATAAACAGAAACTAAAAAATTAAAACACACACACACGCACACACACAAAGCTACTAAAGAATTAAGCCTGACTCATTTACTTTGAGTCACGCAGAAATCTGAGTGTGAGGCCGGCTCTAATTTTAGTTCTCACCCCGAGTTGCTCTGTGGAGAGTCTGTCTTGACTTGACCCCCCGAGAAGCAGGCCCTGGGACAGGAGGCGAGTGCAAGTCGGTTGGGAAGGCGATTCCAACGAGCAAGGGGAAGGGAGCTGATGGGGAGGAAAGCTAAGCCAGCACCAGGCACTGACCAGTGCCGGGCACTTCTGGGGACAGTCGTGATGCACCTCAGACTTTCTCGCCCAAAGAATAGGAAGACGAGGTATTTGGCTCTCATCCATCACTGCTGAAGGTTACCCCTACGGGGCATAACTTCCTGGCCTTCTGCCGGCCGCACGCACGGGCCACAGAGGGTGGCGGTGCTCACGGGAGGACGCTGTCAGAGGTGCTGGAATGGAGACCGCCAGGGAGAGCACCTCACCCGGGGGCTTCCAGCGATGCCAGCTGTGTCAGCCTTACCCTGGACACTGTCAACCACCGCCCTGGATCCAGGAGCCACATGATGACGGTGCCAAACTAGAAGTTTCGATCTATAAGATAGAAGAGTAGAAAGTCAGGAGATGCATGTTTAAATCTTGGTTCCAGCATTCACTGTTGGACAGATGGTTATCAAATGCTTACTTTATAGCCCACAAAAACGTATACAATTAAAATGTGTCATAAACCCACGAGACCTTTCTTGAAACCCTGAGGTCAGAATGTGTTTCAGAATTTGGGGACACTTAGGGGAGGGGTGCTGGAGGAGTGAAGGAGCAAGCAGCGCACACTAGTTACAGAGCGGCCACAGAGACGGGGTGCAGCCCGGGATCTCGTCAGTGCCACCTTCCTGGGCCCGCGGGGGACTTGAGACAGCGGGGCGCCACCCTGTCCAGTGCATGATTTCGAACCACTTTGCTGCACGTCTGAAACTAACCCAGCACAACAGTGAGTGTAAACTGTAACTGAAAAAGAGAAAGGTGGTGTGGCGTGTGCGCCGAGTGTTTGATTACAGCCCCCGTGTGTCCGGCGCAGCGTCTGATTAACACGCCGCCGTCCTGACAGGACAGCAGAGAACGCTCGCGCTCGGCTGCGGGCGCCGGACGCAGTGGCCGCGTGTCGGTTCGCGTCGCATTTCCCCATCCGACAGTTTGGGCTCCAGAGTTATAAGTATGTGCAATCTTACAGCCTTTTATATTTCCGAAGGGCAAATGAGAATTTATGAACTATGTTGGATTATCTCCAAGCTGCCTTTTCCCAGAAAGCTACTAATGATGCCTTATTTGGTTCATTATAAAAATATATAAACAAAATAAAGCCACTGTCAGACCTGTGGGCCAGAATGAGATTCCAAAGCTAGAACAAAAGCCTGTGTAATCCCGATACCTACTCTTTTTTTTCATCCTGATCCGAGGACATTTTTCCTTTTTTTTCAGACAGAGTGGGAGGGAGAGAGAGGGAGAGAGAGAGAGAGAGAGAGAAACATTGAATGAAAGAGATATATCGACCGGCTGCCTCCCGCATGACCCCAAGCAGGGCTGGGGACGAACCACCACCAAGGTACATGCCCTTGACCAGAATCAAACCCGTGACTCGTTGGTCCGCGGGCCGATGCTCTAGCCGCTGAGCCAAACCGGCCAGGGGTCGGACGCCTACTCTTTCTTCCTTAGTAACCGGTCGGGCCTCTGGGTGACACTTCTCATTCGTCTCCTTCTAGCTGAGAAGACGGAGGCATCTTCAGCGACCACCACTAAAACATTCAACCGCAACTTCATTCTCCAAGGCTCCTCGACAAACCGGACTCGAGACAGCAAAAGCACCACTAAGGACTTGATGGTAAATGTCATCTCTGTCCCAGGGCCCATCACCTTCACTGTAGAGGGTTCCTCCATTCTGTAGCTTGCCTGGCAGAGCCCCATCCTCTGCGTGGTCCCGCGGTCTGTGGGGGCGGGGCTCGGAGGTGATGAACACCCTGCCCGGTGCCGCCCACCTCTGATACATGGACACATCCCTCCACTGATCTCCACCTCCTCCCAGAAACCAATTTTGATGTAAGAGGAATAAAAATGTGGACACAAGCCTGTAAGGTCTGGTTCAGGTGGAGGAGTTTATATGCTCTTTTTGAACGGTATTCCCTCTTCCTTAAATTTCCTGTTAGCCATTGTGGTCCTGAAAAAAGTCAGCAGCTGCCCCTAAATGAGGCAGAAGAAGGGGACAGAAGATAATTGCACGAGCCCTGGCGATCATATAGAGAGGGCTAACAGATTATTTGCCTAAACACCAACAAATGCCTCAGAATTTTTGGCAAATGCTTGATGCTCCTTATAAGGACATGATGATCCCGCTGAACTGCCTCAGTGGTGCCACTAAGCTCAGGGCAGACAACGCCTGGGGTGACAAGACCGGAGCAAGGACAAATAGAGCCTGTTGCTTTGACGCGTCACCCATCTCTCCCCTCCCCGTCCCCTCTCGTCTGTCTCCTGGGCGCAAAGGCACCGGTAGTGGCACACGCTGGGCGCTGGTCTGTCAGGGACCGTATGGCCGTGGGGCCGCTGCCTTTCCTCCCTTGGTCAGCTGTCACCCCTGACCTTTCAAAGTCCAATGACCCTGCTCCTGGCCATTTTCTTCAAAGAGCTAAAAGGGGAGACACTAAGAGGGGAGACCAGTATAGACCAGGGGAGGAATCTGTCATAAATCAGAAAGTTCAAAATAAATGACCCTCCATGGGGCTAGAGTGGAGATCGGTGGTGGCCAGGGCTGTGGGGACAGGGACAGGAATAATGCTCAGTGGGGAAGGGGGCTCACTTGGCGGCCGTGGGGATGTTTTGAAACCACAGAGTGGTGGCCGCATACAGTGTGAACACACTAAGGCCACTGAATTGTTCACTGTCAGAAGGGTAATTTTATGCTATGTGACTTTCACACTAATACATTATTTTTTTTTAAATAAATTACCTTTAAATAGCACAAAGAGGTTAAAAATGAAAATATGGATAGTATTTTCTAAAGAAATGCAAACAAAAGAGAAAAGACAAATATTACTTTCAAACAAGCTGTAATTCAAGACAAGAAGCATTTGGAGAGAAAACGAGGAGGGAGGGTGTTTTCATTTTGGTGAAATAAAGTGGATAACTCGTGAGCCTTCCTGGCAAACAACAGAGCAAGAAAATGTACTGTGCCGTGGTGGGGGACTGTAAAATCCCCTTGGTTAAGGTACTTATCTAACTTCGTACTTTACAGAGAATTCACTGTCTTTCCAACCATCAATGGACCACTTATAAAAACTGATTTTATACCAGCTACAAAGAAAGCCTCAATAAATCCCAAAAGGTAGAAAGTATAAAACTACCTTCAGTCCTGGCTGGTATGCACCGTGGTTAGAACACCCCCACCCCAACCCCCGGACCTAAGGGTCTTGGGTTTGATTCCCATTCAGGGGCACAGATCTCAGTTGCAGCTTCAATCCCTGGCCCTGGTCCCTGGTCAGGGGCGTGCGGGAGGCAACCAATCCATGTGTCTCTCCCACATCGAGTTTCTCTTGCTCCCTCCCTCCCTTCCACTCTGTCTAAAAATCAATGAAAAAATATCCTCAGGTGAGGATTAAAAAACAAAACAAAAAACGACCTTCTGTGACCCCAATGCCAAAGATAACCCAGAAGAGCACTCCGTCCGGTAGAACTTCCCGAAGTATCGGAAGGCCGCGTGTGGCGAGCGCTTCAAGTACGGCTCCAGCCTGGGAGGAAGTGACTTGTAAATGTCTACTTAGCTTTAAGTAGTCTCAATGTGAACAGCCACGGTAGTAGCAACCACCACATTGGACAGGGCAAATCTAGAAAAAACAAAGTTAAAATAAACAAAAGCCCTATTTTGATTTGTAAAGCATGTGTACCCACATACACAACTCCCCAATGTACAACACACACGTGCAGACACGGTCCCAGGGTGCTGTGAACTAGAGAGAAAAGCAAGTCCACAGAGCATTCAGAAAACGAAACATTACTTGTGTCTTAACAAATGGGACCCACATGAAACTACACTAGTCAAATTTATAGCATTAAATGTTTCCTTTGTTCTTAAACAAGGAAGAAGCCAAATGAATGAACTGGACATTGAATTCCAGACATCAAAGATGAACGCAAGAACCAATTAATTAAAACCAGAAAGCTACAGAAATGATCGTACTTGAAGAGTTTATTCTTTGGAAAAATAGAAAATAGAATTTTTTTGTAAGCCAAATCAAGAAAAAGATAAATAAAAACAAGAGATTATAATAGAGATGTAAACATTTTTTTATTTAAATATATAAATGTGATGTAAATCTGTGCTAATAAATTTGAAAGTCTTAATTCTAATAAAATCAGAATCCAATCAGAATATTAGTGAAAAGTGGTTGAAGAAATAAAATTTTTAAATTGATTAAACCTTCAGAAAACTATTCTCTGGGCAAGTGGTTTTGCTGATAAATTTTAAAGCAACAGTTAATTCCCATGCAATATAAAATGTCTCAGAGGGGATAAAAATGGAAAACTAAAAGATCCATGTTGTGAAGCTAATGTAACCCCAACTACCAAAGCCTGACATGGCTGGTAAGTGTGTATACACGCTCCATGTTCACACACACACACACACACACACCACCAATTGTACTTCCTCAGAGAGGTGACACACATGACATAAAATATTAGCAAATTAGACATAACGGTGCATTAAATAAATGATCAGGTACATGCTACAGGAATGCAAGAACACCTTTCATATTGAGATGCTGATTAATAAATCATATCAATAGTTCAATAAGAAAAGCCATTTCTCAAATTAATTTATAGCTTAATCCAACTCTCATTAACATCTCAGTGGGATTTTTTTAAAAGTTCACATAGAAATAAATCAGAAAGAATAGACAAAAGCATTCTGCAAAGTTAAAGTGATTTTCCTGCCAGAATTTCAAACCAATTAAAAGCTGTAAAGCAACAATTTTCAACCTTTTTCATCTCATGGCACACACAAACTAGTTACTAAAATTCTGCAACACACCCAGAAATATATTTTTTTGCTGACCAGACCCAAAAAAAAAAGGTATAATTTTGATTCATTCATACCGGATGGCTATTGTTGTGTAGGTTGTTGTCATTGTTGTATTTGGCAACCTGAGGGAAGAGAGGTCAGTGCCCTGACTCAATAGTCAGGTAGTCATGTTTTAAAAATCCTTGCTGCACACCAACTGGTCGAAAGTTGCTGCTGGAAAGGAATCGATGATGAAAGAACTAGAACAGAAAGCTCAGATCTAGATACAGGCACACAGAAGATGTGTCCTATGGATTTTTTTAAAGCATTAGGAACTAATGCTTTAAAAGGTAGAGATTTTAAAGGTAGAGAAGGTAGAGATTTTCTTTTTTTAATGTGCGTGGGAAATTGCCAAGGGGGCGGCAGTGGGAAGGGCACCGATTTGCCTTATTCCACGTACCCAAAGAAACTGTAGGTGGATTAAGATGCACATGTAAAAAACGCATCACTCTTTAAATATTATGAACTACTGAACTGGTCGATGGGCATGAGCACCTTGTATGATACAGACAAGCAGTAGCCGGTTTTAGCCGCCTCTCCTCACTTTGGCCAAGTGGCTGAGAGTGTGCTCCTTGTCTGCCGCAGGAGCCCACCCCGGAGTCCGCTGTGATGTATTAGCGCCATGGAACCCCACTGCCAGTGACCCACTGCCTCCGGCCGTACACGACAGTGCCTTGACCCAACAGCCATTGACTACTGTATGGATCTCCACCTGAGGAGAGGGCTGTCCTGATACCTCACCCAGACAACGGTCCCAGACTTCAGCATCGCGGTCTTGCCCACTCCCTGCCTTAGGCTCCCAGCAGAAGCCAAGACAGAAAACCACGACGCTGGCTTCCAGCAGCAGAGCTCCACGTCCAAAAGTGCATCACGTCCCTGTTCGCTTTGCTATTGTCTCGTCTTTGTGATCCTTCTTTTTTGATCCCTTTGATTCAGCTGGAATTCCATATCAACAATTTGTCCAAAGAAAAATGGTTGGGGTTGGAGGGACGGTGGAGGGAAGGGAGATGGGCATTATCATTTAATTCATCAGCGATTCTTATTCATCTCACACAAGCATCTTTGTCTTGCAGATGCTAAGGGAGAAGTGAAGGGCCCCAGTAGTGAGCACTAGGGACTGTCAGAACGGGAGGGTGCTCAGCCATCCAGGAGGAAGGTCTCCCTCCAGCCACCTCCTTCCTGCTAAGCCCTCGCCCATTATCCCACCAGCCATCCCATTGCTTTGCCGTCACAAGCCCCCGAGTAGAAAGCTCTGACTCACCCATATGCCATGCCCAGGTCCATCTGCAACAATGGCTCATTGAGAATTTAGGTTCTTCCTTGGGCTTCCGGAGACTTCCCCCACTCTAAGCGGGGAGGGGCTTGAGAAAGCCCACCACCGGCCAAACTGCAGGGCACTGTCCAGAAGCAACGTGGCGTGTTAGCGAGGACTGCATCTGACCGAGGTTTAGGTCAGTGCATTATCGCAGACTACAGCCACATGGGAAAATGTCCTCCAAAACGTATCTCCCAATAAATACTCAGCAAAAGTAGTAAAATGACCTTCAAGACAAAAATAGTTAAGGAATAGCCAGAAAACCTACAGGACAAACTGTGAATTTAATGGACACAAGAGTTGATACTAACTCCATGTGTCCGGTTTCAAATGCATGACTATGTAGACTGTGTTTATAAAAGCAGATGGAACTGGAATTTCCAGAATTTGATGCTGCTGCTCGTAGGATCTGAATCTGAGGAAGAAGGCAAAGCTGGGAGGCAAGGGAATAGTACGATTGATGTTTATCATTCTTCTCATTTCATCCTTAGAGCAACCCTATTCAGCAGGCACCGCCATTTTTCAGATTTGGAAACTGAGGGCCAGAGAGATTAATTTGCCAAAGTCACACCTGTCAGCCAAGTGTGATTGGAATGCCTCGCCAAAGCCCGTGTGTTTCAACTTCTGTGTTCCGCCGCCGCCGCACGTTCCCAGACCTGGCGTGCCGTTGCCATGTGCGCTGTGATGCGTTACTGACGGGGGTCTAACTGTCTCCCGATAACACTTCTTGCCGATGCTGTGTATGTCTTATCCAACAGAAATGATGCCTTCGGAATGGAGTACATCTTTGGGTTTTTGTTCTGTTGGTAGAATTCAAAGCAAACAAATTTGAAAAACACAACAAAAAAAGATCTGAGTTCCAAAGAGAACTTTTTTTTTTTAAGAGGCATGAAAAGCAACTACTGTTGTGTGTTACAGTGTTAAAATATTCAGTTTTCCTGGACAAAAATGTGTACTGTGTGAGCCTTGCAAAAAAAAATCAAGAAAAGCAGCAGCAGCCTGCTCTATGGCATTTGCATTTTTATAAAGGTTTCCTTGTGCCAAAAACGTGCAAAGATTTAATTTACTATTTAAAACCATGCGCATATGTTATAGTTCCAGAAGAATTATTTTGTCATCAAGTGATTTTGATCTCCAGTGTCAATATTTATATTTAGATTAATTTTTATAAATGAAAATATTTTAATGGTTTGAGGGGAGGAGGACGATAGGACCGTCTTTGACGACTTCTGAAAGTTACGCTTGCCTTCATGTTATATGCACATTGCCGAGAATTACTGTCAAGAGAAATGATAAAGAAGTAAAAGTCATTTATGAAAATAATGTTTGTAGGTGTGCGATTTTTTTGTTTGTTTCTGTGTTTGTCCTTTGGTTAGGAGAGGCTGGGAGAGAAGAAGGGCTAGGGAAAGGAGTCAATGGTTGGTCATCGGAAAGGCCAGCGTTCAAACCACGGTTGCCCCATGTCCCCAAGTCCTTCCAGTGACACCATTCACCTCTCTGTGGCCTGTTCTCCTGAGCAGAATTTCCCAGCGATCACCTCTACTGAGTGGTCTCCCAGGTAAGACTAGCAGTTCTCCAAGCAGGGGATTGGGGGTGGGGGGCATGGAGGAGGCATGTGACATTTTGATCGTCCAACATGGAGGGGTCATATAGAGGAGAGTGGCCAGGGTTGCTGCTAAACATGCAACAATGCACAGGATAGCCCCCCACAGCCAAGACGGTCCAACTCAAAATGTCAGTGCTAAGGTTGGAGCTGGGGTCGGCCCTGGAGGTAAGCCTCCACAGCCGTGGAGAAGACGCCAGTCTCTGCAGGGACTGTGGCTGAGCAGGAAGCAGGTTAGGGACTCCCCTGGAGTCCTGCTCCAGCTCAGGGTAGTTGTCCTGTGCCTGTCCCGGCCAGAACACTGAAGCTAGACACTGTCCCCCACCACCCCCAAGTAGGACTAGGAGCCCTCCGTTAACCTGAAATGATCGAGTGGATGAAAACACTACAGAATCCAAGAGCCTTCTCTGCCTGGTGGACTAAGGCAGCAGTCCTCAGAATCACCTGTTAAAACACAGACTCATGGGAGAAATCCCGTTAACCCCGTCCTCAATCTGCCTTTCTCTACACTGCCATTAATGTGCCTGGCACAATAATGTTTGCTAAACATTGTGACAAACAGGCTCACATTAAAGTTGACAGGTCATTTCAGATGGAGGGGGGAGGGGGTAGTATCAGGAGACCCATCTGGGACCCTCTCTGTGCAGCACTTCCTGGCCAGAATTCCTGATTTCTCCGTCCTCCCACTCCACCTCCCCATCCCCAGAGGATAGCCAGACAGTAAACAAGTTACCTGAGCATTCAGCCCCCCTAACCCAGGAGCCCCAAAAGCATGTTCTGTGCAACCATCTGCACGGACAACCTGAGTTTTCAAGAGAACCAATTGGAGTCAACAATTTGAGTGTCAAGACTGATGGGCAGCTATGCTCAAAAAATGTACCGCTCCCTGGTTGGTCGTGTGGGTGGCAGCCACTCGATGTGTTCCTTTCACATCGATGTTTCTCTGTTCCTCTCTCTCCCTCCCACTCTACCTGAACAAAAAATGGAAAAATGTCCTCGGGTGAGGATAAAAAAAAAAAAATGTACTGCTCTGCTTGCTTCTGGGTAAACAGGAACAGAGTGAAGATAACATTTTCCCCTAAGAAATAAGTGCTTGGTTTTCCTTGACCTCCCCCCCAAATATTGTGACCCAATATTCAAAGCATTGAGGCTGCCGGAAAACAACTGGGTTCCACTCTTAGACTTCCCATTTTGCTCTGTGGCGGCACCTCATGTGTAAACGGGGTCACAGATACCTTCCTCGTGGTGTTGTGAAAGGGTGAGTGAAAGAAAACATGAGAAAGTTCCCAGCAGAACATCCAGTAACTAAGGTGCTCAATGCTAGTTTCCTCCTTTTTCTCTGAGGATAAGAAAATCATTCAGATATCAGTACCATGACTTACTATGCAAAACGCTGTGCTTCAGTTTCTCTGTTCTCAGTAGACAGGATTATTGTTCTGCAACCATTCGCTCCCTCGAACCCCCTAGCTCTGGAGTGCGCTACCCCACCCTACTGAAGTTGGGCTTGGCCATGTGACTTGCCTTATGGTTAGTAGAGTATACTTGGCCATCTTAGTCCTTTCAGGCTGCAGTAACAAAATGCCAGAGATTGGGTAGTTTATAAACTATTTCTCACAGTTCTGAAGTCCAAGATTAGGGTGCTTGCCTGGCTGGGACCAGGTAAACCTGCTGCAGACTGCCAACCTACACTGTATTCTCACATGGCGGAAGAGGGAAGGGATCCCTCTGGAGCCTCTTAAGAGGGTACTCATCCCAATCATGGGGGAGCAGCCCTCACAACCTATCACTTCCCAAAGACCCCACCTCCCAACACCATCACCGTAGGGATTAGGTTTCAACATATGACTTACGGAGGGAACAAACCTTCAGATCATAGCGTTCTCAACCCCTGGTTTGGACTTGGCCATGTGACTTGCTTTGGTTATTGAGATGTTAGAGAAGAAGAGGTACATAGGGGCTTGAAATATGTTGATGGACTTGGGTTTGTCTGCTTACCTTTTTCCATTCGCTATGAGAACATGCCACAGGGAGCCCACTGGTCCGGGGAATAGACCCAGACCCAAAAGGCAGCTGGCAGCCAAGCTCAGTGAGCCCAGCTGACATCAGCAGAGCCACCCCAACCAATCTGTAGACATATGAGCAAGAATAAACCACTCCTTTTTTAAACCACCGAGTTTTGGAGTGGTTTGTTACGCAGCAATCGCTAACTGATACACTACGTGAAAAGTCAATTTTATCACCTTAGTTTAATCCTTGTGTTAGAGATGAAATAACGATTAGTGAGTATTAAAAGTGAACCCACATGTCAATATTGAGGATATGTATAAACAGACATTGAGCTACTTATTCTTGATGTTTCACATTTTTACGAGGGCATCTGTCAATCTCAACATGTGCTTGTGTTGATCTTTCACAGAGGGCCCTCTACTCACTGAAATTTTTGATAAAAACTTTGAAGCACGGGAGACATTTGGTATAGTCCTTTAAAAATAGCTTCTTACACGGCAGCTGCTCGCTTTTCTCCTAGAAGTACTTCCCATGCAAACTTTGCATTTAGCAGCACAGTTGGCTGCGTGAGCCTTCGGGCTCCGCAGCTGACTTATAACTATGACAAAGTGCAGGTAAACAGAGTTGCATTTTAAAGAGTTTTCTAGGGGCCGGCCAGCTTTGATATCCACTTTGAACGTTGGAAACCTCAAAGAAGTTATTCAGATGGATCCAGTTTGGTGGGACCACGTCCTAACATAGAGAAAAATGTTCTGTATCAAAGCTGTCATGTTCGATAAAGATGAGAGATTTGCGGCCACGCGTCCCGAACTTGAACGCGCGGATTCTGAGTCAGCAGGGCTGGGACGGGCCCGCTGCTGCATTTCCGACCTGCTCCCAGGCGCCGCCAGAGCCGCGGCCGCCTTCCGAGCAGCGAGGTTCCGTGGCTTCTCCCTGCAGGACTGAGGCCCGGTTACCCTGACCTGAGGGCCTCCTGAGGAACAGGGCTCCATTTGTCCACACGGAGCCTAGAACAGGGCGGGTGCTTACAACGAAGTTGGTTCCCCTGGTGGCCATGGTGGCCTGGCTCCAGGCTGTGGTGATGCCATGCCATGTGAGCGAACTGAAGACTGTGACCGCAGGGGAGCCTCCCCCCGACACTGAAGTGCACAGGAGGAATCCCAGCTCCCCTAAACCTCTACTTCACCCATGCCCCTATTCCAAAGAGGGCAGAGCAAACCCAGGTGGCAATAAATAGCCCACACACCTGCTCCCCAGGGTCTAAAAGCACAGACGCCCATGACCTGTGGGCCCGTGAGACACCCGCAACTTTGGCTGGGTTTAGCCTGGCCTCATAAAACAGGTCTGTGGGCTGAGAAGGAGTTAGCACAGACTCCTGGATGCCATGCCCCTTCCCGCCATCACCGATAAGCCGGGAAGGACTCCGAGATGCTCACTCTTCTCGCCGACTTCCTTGAACGGAGCCCCTGTGCCCAGACATGCCCCTTCTCTCAGTGGGTCCTTCTCTGTCATCCTTCGCCCACCCAAAGCTGGGACTTGAACTCAAAGGTTAGGGAAGTATTCCCAAAGTGGGGTTCAGACAACACATGGGATATAGAAGATGGTCAACTGGAAGCAGACAAAGAAAAGATTAGACGTATTTTTTTATCTGATATAAGCTTTACCAGTATTAACATAGAGATGAGAGAATGTGTAAATAATTTATAAATGGATACACTTGGGGTGCATTGTCAAACAGATTTTACTGATGGGCTGTGTGATCAAAAAGTCGGGAGACCAGCTGCTGGTTAGAAAACCTAGTGAGCTTCTGATGACTCCACCCCGTCTCCGGCCAGCCCGCCCCACCGCCAGAGCAGGCTGTTACTCGAGCCGACTGGATGCCTGAAGGGCAGAAGTGGGGAGGTCATCCAGGGCACCCCAATCTTTCGGTTGGCCCTGCGACGGGCGCTGTTCCTTCCCTTTCAGCAAAGCCTTCGGTGGGCCTGCCTGCCTTTCCCTCGTCCCCGGAACCAGACAGGGAGAGTCTGTTCACTGTCCAGCTACCTTGTCCAAAGTTCTGAAACCCATCAGGTTATCGCGAGAAACGCCCCCCTGGGCTGCTTGGAGGTGTGGGGATGTCCCATTAGCTCCCGGTGGCTCTCAGAAGTGGCCGAAGCTACCTCTCTCTGCTCGTGGAGCCTCGGGCAGCGGGCGGCAGGCACCAGGCAGCAGCTCCTCCTCTGTCCAGCTCGGCTCCCTCCATCTTCACAGGGCGGACGCCAGCCAGGCAGGGACATCAGGCTCCAGACCCAGCCACCTGAGAACACGTGGGGAGTCCCGTTGCGGGAAACGTGTCAGGAACGCTGCCCTGAACATCCGGCACATCTGCCAACTCGGATCTTCCGAGTCCCGGCCAGTCTGGACTCTGCGGCCATCAGGGCCCCTTGGGGAGTGTGCCCTGGGCGCTTCCCGGCAGCCTCGCCAAGGACGCCGAGTTCTCAGCCTTGGACTTGCTCAGGGGCCTTGAAGGGCAGGACTGAG